TTCATTTATTTATTTATTTATTTATTTATTTATTTATTTATTTATTTATTTATTTATTTATTTATTTATTTATTTATATTTCTCAATTTATTTATTTCTTCATTTGTACATTTGTTCCTCAGATTACGTGGTTCATTATTTTGACAATTGATGTTTATTTTTGCGCAACACAGACAACGTTACAATGAATTAGAAATTATGTTTTTATGATAACAAATTAATTCTAATTTTTTATTATCAATGTTAAAGTTTATAACATAAGTGCCTAAACATGTGTAACTAAATTTATAAATTTCAATCAACTAATTTTTACACACGTGATATTCTTTAAAAGTGTATTTAAGAGAAGTACCACAACGGTATGATATATCTTACAAATCTGAAAAATGTTCAGTTGATCTACATTTTATTGTGAAATTCTAAAATGTATTTTCACAAAAATAGTTAAGTATCCGAATGGGTTTCTGCGTGAATGAAATGTATCCTGTTATGAAAAATAATAGGTCGAAACTACTGAGATTTGAATCAACAAAGAAAAACATGTTTAAGCATTACAATGTATGGTGCCTTTTCTCATTCATACAATTTTGTATGCATTTAATATTTTCCTTGCAATTTACATCCTTCCTTATACATACAGAAACTCCCTCAGGTATTAAACTATGTCGATCATTGTTTTTTTATTATTATCTAGGCCTGCTATTTCCATGTCGTCTGAATTTTCCTTATATCATTTTTACAGCAAGCAAGTACAACGTTTATTGCCGACGTCGTGAAACAGCACAATGTTTATAGAGCTCTTCATGGAGTAAGTCTTTCAAATCGTACTGACTTTGAAAATTAAATGAGCCGCGTCATGAAAAAACCAACATAATGGGTTTGCGACCAGCATGAATCCAGACCTGCCTGCGCATCCGCGCAGTCTGATCAAGATCCATGATGTTCGCTTACAAACCCTATAACAAGTAGAGCAACTGATAGCGAACAGCATGGATCCTGATCAGACTGCGCAGATGCGCAGGCTGGTTTGGATCCATGCTGGTCGCAATCCCATTATGTTGGTTTTGCCATGGCAAGGCTCAAATTATAATTAAAACAGAAAGTAGAATTTCCAAATTATATTTTAAAGACCCATTATGCCTCAGATAAGCTATCATTTTAATATCATTAAAACATTTTATACTTGGTATCTTCTTACAGTTTCCAAAAAATTACTCATTTGCCATACAGATGATCAACCTTTTGCTTATGTTATTCTGTTAGCAATTGGTATACATTTTTGTTTAATTATGTGAATTAGTATTTTGAATGGAAATTGAAATACTAGCTTGTTTACATTTTGTTTCCTTTACGACACATTACTGCACGTTCAGTGCTATTGTTTTCAGTTGTTAAACATCTAACATGACCTAAATTCACTATCAAAATATTTAAAACACATGTTGGACAGTTCTAAACACATCAAAAGATATGGATTTATGAGGTAATTTTTTCATTTTCACATACAATGTATTTCAAATATTATGAACTATTTTATTCCTTGTTAATTTAAGTACGTTATAACGTTTTCGTCATTATTTTACATGTAAGAATAGTTAACGTGAAAGTACCACGTATCATCAATGTCTGCGATAGCGAGTTATGTGAGTTAGGAAATTAACCCGATGATTATAGGCCAGACACGTAGTATGGTCAACATGCTATGTTCATGAATCTCTCGTGTCATTTATACACAAACATTTTTCTATGTTTAGTTACGTTTCGGATAATCCATTCCTTTTTGGATGTATCCTTTCAGTTAAGTTTCAAAACAAAAGTAAACCAATCACGCGACTAATGTACATTAGTTAAAATGATGTTCGTACAATACCTTGTTTCTCGGGAAATCTCTAATATATATAGAGCTTTCTTGAGCTCGAGATCTGAATATACAAGTCAGCGTTCCATATATGCCAAAATAAATTTACTAAATGTGATCAAGAAGGTTTCTTCATTACCTTTCTTTTTAGTTTTCAACCAAACACTTTGCTAATGAAAATGAAAAAAATAATTTGCGAGCTTCCAGGACAAGACGTCGTAAAGAGTTATGTCACTTGTTGTATAGTTGTCATTTCAAGCACTTTGGCCTTACAACAAAACCAAGGGGCATGAGCAATGTTGCACTTTTCCATTATTTCTAATGAAAAGACTCAATGAAACCGTGTCTGCAATTTTCATGTAATGTGTTGCTTTCTTTGCTTTCGGTAGATCATCCAATTCAGATAATTCCATAAATATTTTATACACTTTGATTTTTGTTGAAACTAAACTATGAAATACATTCATGCACAAACATCGGGTAAAACTGAAATAAATACTTATGAATTGTTCTAAAGATAAATGAGCAAAAATATCGGTGTATTTGTAACTATAAAAACCAGAATTCAACAGAATGATGATGAATTTATTAATCTTTATCCAGGTTCCCGATGTCAAAGATGATGCTAATATGAATTCATATGCACAACAATGGGCAACATATTTAGCATCCACCAACAGTTTCAAAACTAATCCCGACAACAGAGAAGTGAATTATGGAGAAAATGTATTATGGATGCCGTCTTCTGCAAATGGTATATATAGAACAAATCGCAACATTTAACTTTTATGTAAATTAATTAATGTAGGTAATTATAAAAGTTAAAATGTAGATCGGGACAGACATGCTGATTATATACGGTGGGCGATACGGATTTTATCACAAGGAAACAACAAGCAATTATCATAGTATTGCAAGCAATCCATAAGTCCCCTACCGGTAAGTGCCCAAGCAACATTCTGAAGGGCCATTGGCCATTCACTTATGTTTCTATTTTAAGTAAATTTGTTGAAAAAGTTCTTAAAAAGTGATCACAGTGAACAGACAGACAGACGGACTGAAGGACAGTCTAAAGTTATTTTTTAAACATCCCTGTTATCAAAATATAACATTTTAAAAGCAAAATTTAAAAAAAAGGAGATAACGATGTCATACATGATGTGAGTGTAACAAAGAACAATTAGTAATGAAGGTATGAATATTGAATATTTATTTTGAAATTGAAGTAAATGAAAGTTAAAAGAACAAATAGGAAAAATTAAAAGTTTAAGGAGGAGATAATTCTGGAAATATGGATGCTAGATTTATAAACCTTGTCATATTATAATGATGTGGGAGTTTGAAAAAAATTCTATCATGATTGAAGAAGTTGGAGTAAAAATTACCAATTTCTCAAAAACAAGTCTAAGTTCAAAAGGGGCATAATTCTGGAAATAGTCTTGCTAGAGTATTGAACACTCACAAATGTTGAGTGATAATAAGAAACATTTATATGAAGTTTGAAGTAGATACGTTCAGAAAAAAAGAAGTTATTAAAAAAAACAATGTTTTTTTTTCATGAAAATTTTAAGTTCAAGGGAGGTAATTCTGATAAATTTTGTGCTAGAGTTGTAAACTTTGTCACATATGATGTGGTTGATGACTAGCAACTTATTTTTAAAGTTTGAAGAAAATACCTTAAGAAATAAAGAACTTATAGTGAAAAAACTTAAAAACTAGAATCAAAAATCTTGAAATTCAGTCTATTTGTTGCCATAGCAACCAGAATTTTCAACACAAGAAGATAAGAAAAGGCTGTGCATAATTTCCATACTGCCATCTACCAATATGTTAAGTTTCATAAAAATATTTTCAATACTTTTTGCGTTATCACTGGATCCAGGTTATGTGTAAAATCTGCCATATTTTCAGTCTATTTGTTGCCATAGCAACCAGAATTTTCAGCATAGGAAAAAAAGAAAAAGACGTGCATAATCTTCATACTGCCATCTATCCATATACCAAGTTTCATTAAAATATTTTCAGTACTTTTTGTGTTATCGCGGGATCCAGTTTTGTGGACGGACGGACTGACGGACGGAGAGACGGACGGACTTACGGACAGACTAATAAAATTATATACACACTGATAAGCCTTATAGACGAAAAATGTTTCGTAGATTGATCAATATTAAATAGTTAATTTCATTTGAAGTCATTTTCTATGTTTTTATTAAAACGCCGCGAATTTAATCCGTCGAAGTTTTCCGTCTTCTTCAGCGGCATTTATTACAATTACAAATAGATACAAACGAAACAAAGGAAGTGACGTTACTGAGAGTTATTCTTGTAACATATCATAAGCTTTTCAATAAATTGCACCCTTTTTGTGTCCCATATAATCATTCCCTAAAAAGCTTATTTTGAAGTACAACAAGGGGCAGGACGTGAAGTGGTTGCACACTTGGTTCAAGCGAGAAAATTTGTTTTGTTTTAATGGCTTTAGCTTGTCAACCCTTTTAGGAATTTTGCTGATATGGGAAAGGAATCTGTTTAAACCTTATATCACCTCCTTGCATAACTCGTGGAAACCACAAAGAGAACTGTTTGAAATGGGTTCGCGATCCATGCGATGATTTTGTGAATACATTGAGAAAAATTCAATCGCACCAATTTTTTTTCGACATACTCAATATACAATGAAAGAAATTCAAGCAAACTTTTTTCAAATGTTACTGAATTTACAAGCGTTTCATAGGTGTAACTTAATGTTCCGCTTGTAAAAAGTGCCAAGTCTTTCATTAAATTGCACCCATTTTGTATCCTTCGTTGAGCATTCGTTGATTTACACGTTATTTGGTTATGTTCTTGTACGAGGTCCTGTTTACGTGAGCGTGCGTGCGTGAACATGGTTGTTTGGAAGTTTATAAGTTAACACCCACTGTGAATGAGACATAAAAAAATAGAGAAAATAAGAATCTCTTAGAAAGCGCAACACGGCAAAATCAAATCTGTCAAAAGTTTTATAATAACAAATTTAAGAGCATTCAGATTATGTATAGCACTTATTTTGAAATCAATGTATATGTTTCGTATATCTGTATTTCATTATTAATCATGATAACTATAAAACACTGGTTTATTGAGCATATTTTTGCATCTACAGGATCACAACAGGTAGACAATTTGTTTAAGGAAGAAGCAAAGTTGTATGCAGACAATGGATTTTGTGGAAAAGAACTTCACAGATCGGAATTCGGTAAACATTATTTGAAAATTGATTTATTACAAGTTCTGTATGATTAAAACAAATTAACCAATTATAGTTTTTAAAGTTTTGCGTGACTTTTTTTCAAATAAAATGCAGTTATATTTTCAGGCAATACGTTGAAAAGTCAACAAAATATATATTTTCTAAGGTGTTATTTGATGTATAGATTAAATGTTATGTTTGAATGTTTTCTTCCTATAAAAAAATCAAAATATATTTTTCTTTACAATTATAGATCATTATACTCAAATCGTTTGGAGAGATTAAAAAAGATTGGTGTTGGTAAATCAGAAAGCTTTGTGGTTATCAACTATACCCCACGAGGAAATATTTATGCTATGTACGCTGAAAATGTACCATGTCCTTCATCATAATTATTGTTATGAAGATTTTGTTTTGAAAACTGCGCTTTAAAAAATCTTAATCTTGTAAAAACTGTGACATGTTAGTCTTTATCATTTTCAGCCATTATCGACAGTGCTGAATTGACTACATCAGTTGTTTCAGAAATAGGTTCTTTTGATTTTTTTGGGTTGGGTTTTACGTAGAACCAACGCAGTAGAGGTCATAAGGCGACTTCCCAGCTTAACTGGTGAAGGAAGACTTCAATTGCCCCTCTATGCATTATTTCAATTCATTCACAACTGGCACCTGATTAGAACCACCGACGTTCTGTAAGCTGGCTGGATAGCATCGTCACATCAAAGAATCGAGAGTACCTGTCACGATTCGAACAAACAATGGTTAGGGGCAAGTAGTTTGAATCAACGACCTTAACCACTCGACCAAGGATTCCCCAAAAGCTAACTAAAACCAACATAACTTGGGAGGAATTCTTTTAAATGTTGTTCTGTCATTCGTTTTTAGTTCATCTGAGCATTGCACTTTGTTCTACGGTGTTCCAATCATTTGTGGATTTTGCCCAAACTTCACAGGATAATCCTAAAATGACCCTTTTTAAATGTTATATACATGTTATATATGTTATGTTTAGTTTAAAAGATAAGTAGAACACGGGGTTAATCTTAAATACTTGCTGTGTAGCATCATCTTGCCGTTCTCTACAAAATTATGTAAATCTGCTGGAATTTATTACTTTAGGATGATAATTTGCGTTATCTTTTAAGAATTGGTGATGCTGAAAGGTTAAATATTTGGGTGGCAGTATTGTATTTGGTTTTTGTTTTAAAATCAAGACATCCTTAAGCCAGAATTGCCTCTTCGTGTATAGTATAACAGGCAATGGTCACACAACATAGCCCCTGATATATCTAGTGAAACTGGTAGGGCATATCAAAAATGGGATATTGCACAGAGGTGTAATTCTCATATGTAATAAAGGAAATAATAAAACAAACGGACTGATACGGGTATAAAAGGGACAATGGTTGAATGAAAGAAAACGGGACACGACACAAAATGGGAAATGAGGGGGTGAAACGGATGTTTTATACTTACCGCTGACGAAAAGATAGCACATCACAGAACCAACATAAATCTATCAGCATTTGCGCTATAAACAGTTTTAACCGTAGTCAGTATCAGTTGATAAACCATAAGCGGTGGGCTCCCTTACAGACGATAGTAAGATTTATGTCAACATAGAATGTAAATCAACATGGCAACGACATATTTTAAAACATACAGAAAACTATTGACAAACATGTATTAATACAGAAAGCCATGTCAATCAACATTATATGTTTAGGGTATCAGAAAAAAGAGTCATTGTGACTCTTATTTCCATTGTGGTCCTTAAATTATAGCATCTTTACAGAGGAAGATTATAAGTTATGAATATTAATGTATCACAGTAAAATAAATAAGTAATAATAAGTCAGGTCAAAGATTTAATAACAATCACTACATTACTGATGAAAGAAACATCACAGATGTTGTTGAATGCATAAAATGGTGTATATACTGAGTATAAGAGGTTCCTTTACTTTATTATAAGCACAATAAAATTTCAATCATTATCACAGTTTATAGAAAAAAAAACAACAATTAAATTATACAATTTTAATGTTGAATTACAGCATAAAATTCAAAAGCAGAAAAAGGATTACATTAGAAATAGAAATATAATAACTACATTTACTAAAGAAAAAATATACAAATAAACAAAATGAATAATTAGAAATGTGTCCATAAGACACGGTCGCCCCCATACTCTAATGTTTTGTCAATCTACTGACTCTAGGTCAAATATCTTTTGGGCTATGCATAACCCGAGTGAAAAATTGCAAATCCATTACTAAGTCTAGGGCAACAACACATGTGACACAACATGAGAACGCAAAACGAATGAACGGACAAGGGCAAATCTAAATGCCACGTGGGCACATAAATGAACATGGTATATGGTAGTTAAGAAAGACAAACTTAAATAAAACATTTAAACTGTACTAAGCTTAAAACAGGAAATGAAATGCAACTCCCTTACATTCTGAGTGTTCAATATACAGCAATCATTGTAACTCCAAATCTTTTAACCACAGGAACAGTGAATCTCTAGCTATCTTCAAATGTTTTTTCTCTACCATCAACTGAGGTACAAACTTTAAACCTGAACCAAGTGAGGGAATTTGTGAACATTACTCACTCGAGTGAACTGTTCACCTAGATACTGAGGGGCATTGCTAGATTGGATTTTAAAGACAAGAGGAAGAATAAGTTGGTTAACCCTCTTAATAACTGGTAACCATCTAACCTTCAAAAACTGGTCATGACCTGTATGTGATCTTTGATCAAGAACCAGAAGAAACAAAATCAATTTGTTTTGGGTAACCTGTAACTGATTTTTCAAAGCACGAGTCAAACTATTAAACCAAGCAACAATAGCATAGTCCAAATGACAATGAACAAGAGAGGAGACTTGAAGTTTAATGTCGTTTAGTATAAGATTGAGGTACTTTCTTTTCCTGTAAAGTAAATTTAAACCGACCACTGGACTTTTGAATTACCGACCTGGCCATTGACTCATAGCACAAATTTTACAAGGTTTCTGACTCTTTCTAAGACCTTATTGTGTGACCCATAATTTTATGTTCAGTTTTGAATGAGATTTGTTTTAACAACAGCCATCAAAAAGTCTTCCAATTGGTCCTTCAGATACAATCAAAAGAGGAAAGCTTAGCTATAAAAAGGTTTACACCAATCATGCAGTAAGTCTTAAATCAATGGTCAATTTTCATAAAATGTTCGGAAATTTCGGTGAAGACAGCAGAAAAGTTAGTATGATCCCTGAACCACATCTCTACAGAATTTAGGTGTGCTAATACAGTTTTTGAAGGACAATCGATTTTTTAAAATTAAATCTGAATTACTTTTTTTCGAACTAAGTGAAGTATTCACGTATTTGGAGAAAGCGATAGCCTTGTTTAAGAGGTTTGCCAGGAATAAATAAATTAAAATCATCTACTAGCAAATCCAATTAACCGAGAAATGTATACTCCAGATGATTTTTCATGAGGTACATCTTCATCTAACTATGGAAGGTAAACAACATTAAGATAAAAAATGTCTTTATTCACTTTAGTTTTGTAAATAATAGAAATGCTTATATCCAAAACGGGTACAATAATGTCTGTAAAGTTTGTTTTCTTTTTAAGTTGACTTGGATATATTTTGAAAACTTCTCGTATAAATCATTTCCCTAGGTTCAATATTGATTCAGTCCGGGTGTCACTTAATGTTGAATTAGGAAAACACATTTTCATGTGTGAATCTTCAATGCGGAGACCGCCTCCGTGGTCGAGGGGCTAGCGTCGATGACGTCTAATCCAATTACCTCTCTGGCGTGTGTTCGACCAGGTAGTCTAGTATTGGTGTAACTCTCCCGGAACGATGGTTAGGAAACTACCCCCTATATGACTGAAATACTGTTGGGTGAAACAAACAAACAAACAAACTTCAATGCGGAGAGCTTACTTGTTTTTGTGTGTTTTTTATGTTAATAGTTGCAATTAATTCAAGAGTAATGAACGCCAAAAGCCCTACCTCTGATTTTAGTTTTGGATCACAGTAATTTACAATGCAATAATTTATATAATGTCTAGAAAACTGGAATATATCGGTCAAAACTAATGTGCATGAATATAGAAAATAATTGTTTTCTTTGTAATCTTACCTTTGCAAAAAGTGTGCCTTTTCAAAGATGTACGTTTTTTTAAACAAATCAAAAACATATTGTTGATAGAGTTACGTGAGTATAATTCATAAATCATTTTGAATTATTGTTCTTAGCACATAGGTGTATATATGTAATTATATAAAGATTTATTTTTAAAAATAAATTAATTCCAGACTAGCAGTGAAAGGTATGTGCAGTGTAATTTATTAAAATAATTTTAGGCAACATCAGATATAAAACATTGGCGTTCGTTATGAAAGATAAACTAGTAAAATAATAATGAAAAAATGTTCACAAATATTTTCGGCGATATATATACCTGTATTGTCTATAATATATATTCATAAGTTGTTATTAAATGTCAAAATTTTAAAATACGTCTTCATGTGTATTTGTTATTATGTTTCAGTAATACATAAAGTGCCTTCCGCACAAAAAGGCAAACAGATGTAGTTTCATTTGAAATTATCATATTATTATTTTGTTTAAGCAAAATGTATGCTTATAAATTGTTACGTATTAACGAAACAGAAACTAATAAAATGTTAGAAAAGACCTATACCAGATAAAACGTAAATATAAATTACAGAAGTGTACAAAATGCATGATAAATGGCTATACCGTGATATTCTATGTTCATGCTAGCTGTTTAAGGTTTAATGTTCCAGTTGTCCGACACAATGCATACGTATATTAAATGTAAAGCTATTTGTCATCTCTTACATTTAATGTTTTATTTTCTTAAATCGTGACATGTGAAGTTATTTTCACTTGCATTATTATATGTGAATATTTTTCTTAAAACTAACAACTTGAAAATGACAAGCTTCGTGTGGATTATATTAGTGCTTGTAGTCCGTTTCAGCAATTGTTATGGTCAAGGTACGTTCTTCATTTCCTACAAAAGTAATATTAAATCTATCTCAACAGTTTGTTCTATTACGAATTTTTAACTTATTGTTAGTATTTAAGAATGGAAATTCTTAACTTTACGAAATAAAACAATTTGTTTACAACTAAAATATTGCGTATTCTTCTCATTCTTTCAGTTTATATTATTTTTCTTTATATTTTTAAGAGTTATATGGTAACGGGGTTTGTCCACAACCACAATGTGAGGGTAAACCTCATATTCCACCCGACTGCCGAAAAAATCAATTCACTATTGGGTTAGACAACAAAACAAGATGTCCAGCATGTGACGCTAGCTTTTGTGGTAAGATCGTTTCTTTGTTAGGCCAACAACTATAAGCGTTAGATATTTAGAAACTGAGATTTATGTAAATATGCCAAGACAATATACACCAATTTTGAAAGTAAAGTGTTTAGCCTGCATAGTAAAATGTTGATAGTGATATTTCTGTTTGGTATTTAAAAAGCATGGCAAAGCTCTCTCTCCTGTCTATCCTTCCTCTTCTCTCTCTCCACCCTCTCTGTAAATACAATGTACTGAGTTCCACATAACTTGCATATATCTCGAGGAGTTTGTTTTTGCTCTTTCCACCTTTCAGTTTATTTTCATTTATCTAACATGTTCAAAATTGTCACACGTCACAGAAGGAGCTCCTTACAACTGTGTTACATCGAACAAGAACCTTTATTTTCCCACGCCTCTGTTTTAAAAATCTGTTATAAAATACAGGTACTGACATTTTTAACATTTCATACATTTTCAGGCCCAGAGCAAGACGTTTGTCCACTGGCAGATTGTCCGATATGGTTTGAACCAGTATTTGTTCCTGTAGAATGTCAAAGGGATACGTATGTTATTGGCAGCGACAAAATAACAAAATGTTACATATGTCCTGTAAAAAGTTGTGGTAATACAGATTAAGATTAAAATACTTATTTTAAGTAAACCTTTCGTTTTATATTTACATTTTAGCATGTTTCTATTACAGTTTGAACGGTAACTTCAACTGAAAATGATACATTTATACTTAGAAAATAAAATGGAATAAGTACCTTATGCGCGGAGGGTTCTTAGCTTGAATTCCGCTATGTCTGAAACATATCTATAATTACGCTTAATATCAAACATTAAATTAAAATTTACCTCTTATCATGCAGCTGAATCATACTTGTTGTTAATACAAACTTAAAGTAAATGTAAAATATAGTTAGTAAGTTTTATAGACTGGTACACAGCTTTTATGTTAGGCTGAATGCAAAAATAATGCACAGGAGGTGTACAAATGGTGTGTGTTCTTTTAAGAAGTGAGCATATTTTTTGTTTAACTTAACTTGCAATAATTTACGTTGGAACTGCATTTTAATTATTTCGTTGGTCCATTTTCTGTTTCAGGTGATCCAAATATAATATGCCCAAAGATTTCATGCCAACCAGTTCCAAAGAAATGTCAAGTTAAGCAGTTCACAATTGGAACCGATGGTATAACAGTATGTCCTGCTTGTGACAAGAGCAATTGTACAGGAAATCAAAATGGTTAAGTTTTGTTAAGTTATTTCTGTTGATATTTATGTAACATTTATGTAACATCAGTAAAAACGCAGGTTTAAATGAAATTGAAGTATTAACAATACAGCAATGCCAGGTGTTTTTTACACCTGTGTCTGTTGTTTCCAATTTATCGAGAGAACTTTATGTATGTTTAATTTCTTTATAGAACTAAAAAATAACGTAATTATTAGCTGAATAACTTTATTGAAATGAACAGAGTTTTAAAGACCGGGAAAAAAACAAACCAACAAAAAACAAAATAATTCAAAGCACAGAAGGCGCTGAATTTGTTTGGGTCTCAGAATGTCAGAAAGGTGAAGGTTGTGAGATTATAAAACAATTTGTTTTTGTATAGTGCCACCAATGCTTTCCAGCGTTTTAATTGTAATTGGCTATAAGACTTATTGCAACACTGATATTCGATCCAATGTTTATTTGACTTAAACAATTTGAAAAAAAAGAGTTGCCTTCACTGGAATTTGAACTTCAGACCTCTCGCTTCCTAAGCGAGCACGCAAATCCTTCGGCCACGGTGAATTTACATGTTAACGGCCTGAAGAAAACCATATTATTCTAGTTAGGGTTTGTAACGACGCTAACTGTTGTTTAACACTTGTGTAAATAATCATGGCGCTTACTATAAGCATGTATATCTATAAAGAATAAAACAATATTAGAAATCTTCGACCATTCGGGAATTATTTTGCTTGAAAATTAATCCGCCTGTCATGTGACCATATTTACGCAGTGATCTCCCCTAAATTTTTCGGCCTAAGTGTTACATATAAAGGGAAGTAACCGCTTCAAAAAAGCGGACTACTTTCGGCACTTGCAATTAACAGCATTAGAGTCTGAAATTTCGCTACCATTATTTGTTTGGTCTGACGACCCAAACAAATAAAAACTAAACAGAACAAACAACAACAAAACAACCCCTCTGTCATTTTTGCGGTGTCAAATTCAAAACTATGTTTTATCACCTTTACCCGATCATTTGAATGAAGTACGTTTTCTTAGTTTCAGGACTGCTCATTTCATTTAATACGTTTTCAGTCAGTTTCACAATTGCTTTTTAAATACGGAACACATGTATTTGACATCCTTAATTGAACATTCTTAATTAGATACATTTTCGAAAAGAAAAACGATACAATACTGTCAGTTCAAATAGATATTGAAGACGATTCAATAATTTTATATAACAAATCAACTTCTTACCTTGTACCTAAGTTAATTATCCTACCTAAATTGTGGCTAATAATTATCAAATCTGTTTTCTTCTTGTACGTATTTACAATGAACGTATTAGACCATAATTACTTTTAACAGTTGAATTAGCTGGGTTATTTATCAAAATTGTACGCCAGCAAAATATTTTAAGAATGACTTAATATGATTTAGTAGGATTCCTTTTTAAGACTGACAAACAGAGGTAAATGGAATATGTAATTTAGATAAAAGCATATTAAAACGGGTCTTGGACCCAAAAAGGCTCGAAGACATAATCCTTGTGTTGAGAGAAAGACACCATTACCAGTAGTTCACCATATCCCTTAAGCGGCATAATAGTAAATGTAAGTTGAAATATAATATGCACTTTGCATCTCCATGTTAAGTTTATAAATAGAACGATCGGTTGAATAATACTTGCATGCTTACAATACTGTATAAAATTAATTTTTTAAACCAATATGTCCATTGTACAATATGATAAACAAGATCAACAAGGAATGAACGCAAGCCTTTCAGCACAGCTGCAAACTTGAAACAGCAGAAGATGCCGTCGTTACTATGATTTATTATGATTGTATGTCATAAATCTAAATGAATTATTGTCTATCATATTTTTGTGAATATAATTACGTTATGTGTTTAGATTAATCTGTTATGGAGCAAGAGTTACATAACAGGATAATATATTATGACAGTTTTATTTTGGTTCATGGTTACACGGTAAGCGACAGACAACCTGGTATATTTTATGGTAAAATATTAAATTATGTTTACTCTAAAAATTCTAGAGAAAGAAACAGTTAAAGGAAAAAACGTGGGAAATGCACACTGATTATCAATGAATGTGTACATGAAAAATGATAACAAACGCTCGTTATCTCTCGCGTCCATAGCACCGATGACAGCAGGATTCATTTTTCAATAGATTCAAATATATTAAGGTTCATAAAAATATTGAATTTATTCTATTTCTGTTTAAGAAATGTTGAAGCAAAATTTGGAAAAAATGTCGTTTAAAGGTTAGATGATGTTAACATCGTAGCATAAAATGGAAATGTTAAAGCTTTATGTATTTACCAATGTCACGAACACATGGCAGAATGTGTCGCAGAACCGTATTTATTTGTTTTCCTGCTTTGTATATATAATAGAGTGACATCGTTAAATATATAAAACATTTAAGCTGTCCCTGCTTAAAAATAACACATAAACTTATTTCATACAAACGTAGGACGATATCAAAATTATTTATAGGTAGCCTCTTGTGGATTTCATCAGTGTTCGTTTTGCTCATTTGTTTTGTCCAAGGTGTATGATTTAAAATCTTGGAAATTAAAAGATGATGGTACTATACAGCCGATTTTATTATCATCAAGTAATTTGTAAGTCCTTGGACTTTTTGCTGCGTTACCTTGCTCTGAATTGCTTTTAATATATTAATAACAAAACGATATTACATTAGTGATAATCTTGTTATTTCTTCGAAATAATTTCATTAAAAGGGACATTTATAATGTAAAATGCATTCTACAATCACATGTAAAGAAAATGCAAAATATATGCATATCTAATTACATCTAATGTTTAATTGCACTAATTATTGCAATTGTTTAGACGTATATGGCACCGATGGTTGTCAAGAAGCACAATGCCAAAACAAACCATTTATACCACCAGACTGCAGGAAGAATCAATTTATTATCGGATCAGATGGCAAAACCAGGTGTCGAACATGCGATGCTAGCTTTTGTGGTAAGAATGTTACATTAATTTGACAGTTTATATGATGAATTGTATATTAAATTAAAAGCAATTTAAAGTGTCAGTTATAGAAATGTAGAAAATATAATATGCTGTTATTTTTATGTCAAAGCTCATTTAAATTCTCTGTTTTATTTATGTTTTATTCTTAAGGCTACACTTTCGTTAATTTTGTTGTTTGTGTATTTTATTGTTTACGTTATGAATATACAAATAAATGTCATAATGAATAGTAAAGAAAAAGTGAGCAATTTTCAACAGGTTCTTCTTGGCACTGGAAAAACAGGTCGTTAAATAGTTTTTGCTTTTTAAAAAACTACTAGTCAACATCAAACTAGTAGCATTCAAACCAATATTATTTCGGAGAGAAGCTAAAATAGCAACACAACATTTTAATTTATTCCTTTTTAGTTTTGATAATGTTTATACCGGATTGCATACTAACACACTAGATTTTTCAATGTACTCTTATATCACACAAGATGTCGCTCAATGCTGTCTGGATTGTGTAGAAAGTAAGAGGCTCATTTGAACCTTTGAGTCCGCATTATCGAACATTTTAATAAGAAACATGGTAATGATCCAAGAATGACTCAGACTAATGATCCGTTGATTTAAAGGCAGGATTTTAACTACAATACATCTTTATTTGCATTTACGTTGATCTTTATCATTAACAATAGAAGTAATTTCGTGTATATGTATAGTTTAATAGTTTATTGTCTCATTCCAAACATGTCATATATACAATACATCACAATGTTCAATCATATTAAAAACATGTTGGACCAATCTCGATAGATTTATAAGAGACATATAAAAACATGATGATACTGGTAAAATATATTCTATAGCTAATAACAATTTACTTTATAACCAAGTTACATGTATATATAACAGACATTTTTGTTTATTCCTTCATGAAAAAACAATATACTTCAAAAAATAATGCCCAGAATATTTGTGACAATACTATTGCAATTTACTTGTTATGTGAGTGAGGCCAAATATGTTCATACAAAAGTGTATATATGTATGTATAGTGTTGTTTTTATTAACACTTGTAAATCGTTACTAGACACACACTCTCATATATGTCTTTTTTTCGCGCTTCATAAACTTCAGATCCGAATAGTTGTCCAACAAAAAACTGTTCAGGGCAGCAAAATATTCTCAAGGAATGCCGACAGCCTACCTTTGAGATTGGAGGTGACGGGATAACAAAATGTCGAATGTGTGACGTGAATGCTTGTGGTAGTATTTTCACTATATGTTTAAACTTGGAAAAGCTGCAGGTCCGATTTTTATCGGACCTTTCGTATGGACTACCTAAGGCATACCTTATATGAAAATCCCGAGTGAAATTCAAACCTTCTGAAACTTGATGACTTTATCTGAAAAACATATAAAAGATAACTAATTGATTTAATTTTACTAAGAATTTAAAGTATAACAAATATTATATAAAGTTAGAAGTAAATTAATTTGATTAAGTTTATTTCCTTTTTTGTGAACATACATTTACCAGATATACAATGAAATGATAATAGTACTATGTCTATATAAAATATTAATATCATTCCAGGAGACCCGAAAATAGTATGTCCGAAGATTAAATGTCCTTCTAAACCGCCTATACCTACACATTGCGTTGTGAAGCAATTTACAATCGGTGGCGACGGCATAACATTATGTCCAGCATGTGATAAGAAAGACTGCTCACAAAGTCACAAAGAAAATGAAAATTATTAAATGTGTGCACGTTTGTTCGATGACATGAATAAAGACGGTCATATACATATTTAGTTTGGTAAACAGAAGTAAAATATGTCATAGATGTACAGTATGCCATTCTTAGATAACTTGATTGTAAGAATAAATGCGTATTATTTAATTTGTCTAAGAATAACTGAATTGCCCCGGTTATCATCTTGTCATCTTACAGTGACCTTAATTGACCTTGACCTTTACCCTAGGAGGCCCAAAAGCAATGTCGAGAAAGGTCACTACACAGGCTTGCTTAATATGAAAATTTATCGCAACTTTTCATTACATCTCACCCGTAACGTAAGTTATTGCCCAGAAGCCATTTTTCTATTAATAGTTCAAGTAACCTTAACCTTAACCCTAGGATGTCCTTAATAAGGTCCCCACGGTTACACTTTAAAACGGATTCGTTTCGATTTTCATTCGTAAACGTTTCCGATAATGTTTTCCTTTTAAACGAAATGACCATATTGTCTTACAAAATATCTTAATCATTGCCCGTTATCATGGATTTTATCAATTCTGATTGGTTTATTCCAAATTTAAAAACGGAAAATTGGTGTTTACAACCACCACCACATCATTACTGTGCAATAATTGCTCGTTACATAGTAGATTGTTTGTAAAATTGATTTTCCTTTAATCTTTCAAAAGAGCGTAATGGGGATACAGTGCACAAAATATGTGCCGACACAAACGTGATGAGCCCTAACATTAATTATTTGTACATGTATTAAAATAGAAAGTAAGTCATCATTTGGCGACTTGAATACATAGGGTAGTATAGTACATGAGAGTACCACCGTTTAAACGGTATCGTTTCGGTTCATAGCAATCGTGTAAACGTTTACAAAATATTGTAAACGTGGGAGCCTTAGTCCTTAAGCGATACCAAACAAGATCTCCACATTAACTTGAGATAAACCAAGTTTGATGATATCCCCCGACAACCATGAAGCGGAACGCCCGACGGACGAACAGAGTAACCGACCGACCGACACGCTCACTCCTATATAACCCAACTTCGTTTATAGGGGTTATAATAATACTAGTAACCGATCTTTCACCGTTTTTCTAGGAAATATGCAATATATTAAAAATCGAATCTTTATAAAATGCAAATGAAATCATCAAAATGTTAAATACACGCTTATCAATCTTATAAGATAAATCCATGTTGAGTCAATACCAACCCGCAACTGAGTTGTTTCTTAATAAATCAACTTAATTGTCATCGAATGAAAATTACTGTGTTACACATATAAAATAGTACATAACCAGAGTTATTTCCCACAGTTTCTGCATCCGTACTTATTTGTTCTTTATTTTCGACTTGAAGATTAGTGTTACATGTAAATGCATTTTTATTTGCTGTGTAAATCATTTCTATGTGTTTTTTACACCTTTATTTATTTGCTGCAAAGCTGCCGAGTCTTATATGATTTTGAGTAAGACGCATGATTTACTGCTGATTGACACGATTCATTTTGCGAGTCGTAAATAAAAACACAACATTCGCAAACATCACCTTTATAAAATATTTGCGGCATGGCCGAGTGGTTAACGCGTCGAACTAGTAATCTAATGATCGCGAGCTGCATGGGTTCAAACCCCGTCAGGGGCAAGTCGTTATTTCCTCGAGCAAGACACTTTACACTCATAGCTCAGTACTGGTTGGTTCCAGGAACGGATTCGAAAGTGTGTCTATAAGCTTATAGCTTCTTCCACAATCGAACTAAAATAAATTCTGTATAAACCAAACATCAGCTTTACACTTCATGACCAATTATAAATTTCTGGCTTTGTTGCAAAACATTTTAATTTACATTGTCTTTAAATGGAAAGACAATGTTTTTTTATCTCTGTATACAAAAAATTGACTGTGCAACTGTCTGTAGTTTACCGAGATTTAATATTGTTGACACAGGCTTAAATAAAAACACGTTATTTCAACCTAAGGGAAACTGTTTCGCATTTGGACAAAACACATCGGTAAAGAGCTTTTGCATCGCACTTTCAGAAACATCTGAATTTTTCAATATATCCATTTGTACACTTTTATAAACTAAGAAACAAGTTAGTTTCGAAGAAGTTTTGTATTTTTCTTTTGAGATGATCTGGATAGTGCTGTGTGGGCGGGCATATTTCTGGTAATAGCCGCCATTTTTATGGTAGGCTACACGTGGGCTGTTTTATTTTGGTTAGATTTGGGAACGGGTATGATGCCTTTAATGTCTTATATACTATATTTATTCTCAAATTTGATGTTTTATCGTTGGTCATTTTCTTATTGAATTATATATCATTCAATCGGGATATAATTAAATAAGGTCCAAGGCATTATGATAAACAATTACGAGCAACACTGTTTGAATATAAATAAGACACATGGTGCCGGAATCCTGGCACATTACGACATCGACTGAAGCGTACCCGTTCTGTCACTGTATGAAACAAGTACCACTAGTAAAGACGTAATGGAATTTTCGTGACGCTTTCTCTATGATTTCAACAACTGCGCAGATCTTAACAGACATTCGCCCAGGCAGCATTTTATTCGGTTCTTCTAAAGGTATGCAGTACACTGCTGACCATTCCTTTTCAGCCATTTTAAGCGCGTGTTAAACCTCGCATGTATATTATGTTGATATGAATAAGAGTTAAAGTGTGTACAGTTATGAATTTTCTTCCTAAAGTTTGTAATAAGTTTGAAAACGAATACTTCAAAAATACATGCATGGTTCATTCAGGTCAATTAATGCTTACAATTATACTATGCTCAAATTTTATATTAGAATATATTGATAATTGCTACAAATTCATTTTGTAAATATTAAATAAACATGCTTTGAATTCACACAAATTAAATATATTATGTTAAAAATTCTACAAACTATACGTGGTCACAATATGAATATATAGTGTCAATTAAACTGGCAGTTGTTTTAGGAAAAGACTAACTTTAAATGACCTGAAGTAGGAAACGCGACTTCATATACATTGTCTATTCATTATTTCTATCAAATTAGATATATTGAGTAAGAATTTAATAGATTTTAATAAATTTCTATGAATAAAATATTTTACGCAAGGATGAGCATAGTATATTCTACTTTAAATAGCAACATAATATATTGTTAAATTATTTTATTCTTTTGTATGCGTATAAAAACAAGAGAGACATTTTATATTACAACTCATTCAAACAATGACCATAATGTTAGGTAAACAGTAGAGTTTTGTTGTTTATGAATTTTATAAAAATATACCTAAGGACAATGAAAACGCACGGTCGGGATAATTGCATTTTAACAAGGAAAAGTTATTTCTTTTGAATATTTTTTCATAGTTTCATAAAACCGAACGCATTCCGGTCATTAGATACCAAAATTATGAAAAATTGTTGTATTTTAATGAAGTTATTGCATAATAAAAACAGTACCCGAAAAATCAAAAGTAACACTTTTGGCTAATTGTGATAAGATCACAACAGAAAAACAGATTGAACCAATATATGGTTAATTTATGAAATGAAATTATTTATTTTTAAACTGTTAATTATTAACTTGTTTTTCAAACCTTTCTAGAAATGTTAAACACAAATGAGCAATTAAAATATTTATGAAAATGAATATTAAACTATGTCAATGGTCTGTTTAAGATATCGTAAAAGCTCACATGGAAATTGCATATATACACTTTTCCTCTATAAAAGATGCTAAATTTCAAACACTACTGAAGACTTGCTAGCAATCTGTATGCAATGGTTCTAGGACAGATTCAGTCTGGTCTGTCTTACAAACAAAGCGCCAACCGTTTTGGTGTCCATCGGTCTACAATTTCTCGGCTTCACCAACGTTTTCGCACTACACTACAGGCCGAATGGTGTCAGATTCCACAGGCGACTATCCGCACCGTAAGGTCTATGAGGCGATGATGTACATCAGTAAGAGACGCTGACAGAGGACATTGTCGTTTTTAAAGATCCCAACGGTGACATTACGAATAGACATTTATGAGTGACTTTGTTTTGGATTTTCATTTTGGTTTTGCCTTTGTTAAGTTTGCATTACCGTGATGAAAAAGTGTGATTTTGGGATTTTCGCCTAAGGTTCTTCACTTTACTTGTGTACATTTAATTTCAAACATTTGGAATGATTTTCAAATGTTAAGTTTCCGTTTTGTATTAAAGTTATGATATATATCTAATGGAGTCGTTAGTGTTTTGTTTTCATGTAATAAAATGCATAGAGTGGGCGTGCATTTTCATTGTCCTTAAGTATATTTCCTTAGATATGACTTTTGTTTATCCCTTTAACTATTATCCATTGTGCTTTTCTGCATCTGTCGTGGCAAGATGTGTCGATGTTCAATTTCTTTATGCAAACAAGGTCTTACCATTAATATGGCCGTGCTCTCCTATATCTAGTTTGTTGGTCTTGACTTTTGTAAGAACGACAAAACCCCTTCACTTTATAAGGACCAAAGGTATTTGTTGTGATTTCAATGAATTCTTAAATTATCATGTTTTACGCCGGCAATATAAATAACAATTTGTTTTTTTCCTTGTAAGATGACTTTGAATAACTTTTACTCAAACTAAACTAGAATGATTCGTTGAAATTTCAAATCGGGAACATTTATTATTACGTTTCTACACAAGGTACCCAGTATAACATCGAACCTATTGTTTAATGTACAAATGTATTTTATTTAACTTTATATCGTGGCCATCTTTTTGCGCAAAATGAGTGAATAAACAATTATTCGTATAAATGTATCTCATATTTTTATGATTATCATCATCATCATTATTATTATTATTATTATAAAAATGCATGTTCTATAATGTCTTGTCATATATCATGTGATTGCTGTCCTCGTGGACAAAGATTTAACTTGCATATAGCATGTACATGTCCTTCGCCAATTTAATTCAGGATGAATGATTTTTTAAAAACTTTTTATTGAAAAAGGCAAATAATTACTGAAACATATGTGTATTTATGTTAGAATCTTGAATCAGGAACAGAAGCGTCCGTGGTCAAGTGGTTAAGGTCGTTGACCTCAAACCACTTGCTCCTCACCGCTGTGGGTTACACTCCCACAAGCGAATTATGATTCCTCCATGTAATGAAGCTATCCAGATATCTTATTGAACGTCGGGGACTCGGTTATCATCTTGTCCCTAAAATAATGCTGTGATGACTAAAGGTTAATATTTCAAAAAGTTTTAAATTACCTGGTGAAATGTAAATATTTTTATTTCAATGAAAAGTTGATTTGTTTTAAGAAAGATGTATGCAACATGCAAGTAAAGGTATAAAGTGCTGTTCGTAACTCACTCCAGATAATTTAAGGAATATGTACATTTCGTTTTTTAACCTTTTAGTTTAATAAGACTTGCATTCAAACAGATTGGAATATTTCATATCGTAAAAAAGTACCAGTTTCTGTGACGCTAAGAATGTATATACTACAATGATTAAAAATTTGAAAGAGATCTAGATATACTTAGGATATCAGCAAAAATATTTTTCTCAGTACGTCGGAGAGCAAAAATATATTTAATGTATATCCAAAAGCATCATTTATTGCATTGATAGATGTTAAATGGACTCCATAACAGTGATCTCATACATACAATTTGTAATACAGAGACATTAGCCAGCAATTTGCAAGGCATGATGATATGGTCTGCATATAAAAAATCGAGAAAACTAAAGTAAAGCAAAATGTAAAAACAACACACAGAACACGTTAGTTAAGATTGCTACACAACAGGAAATTGTATGAAATACACAAGATCTATTTAAATCTTATATTTTCTATTATTAATTGGTATTCTTCAACATTATACATGTATAGTAAAACATTACATTACTTAAGATTATATTCCGTTTGTACAAAAAATATATTGTGGAAAATGCATAAAAGAGGGCTTTTCAGGGGAAATGGTAAACTTTTACACACGAGATATGTTCTGATAATTTTCTTCAAAGCTTCTTCTTCTTCCTCTTTAGGTATTATATTAATATAAACAGCTTTATTAAATGACAGTATTTGGTCCAAAAGATCACTGAAACATGGCAGTCACTGAAAAAGGGGCATCCTTTGATATACCAACGTATTTCAAGTTAGCGCATACTTAAAATTTAAGGAACTAAAACTTACAAAACTTACTTTATTATGATAATATTTCACCAATCTAAATTATTCTTTGTTTATTATGTTTATGTGAATATTAATTGCATTTTGTGTGTAAATATTAATTTTGTTTTGGAGCAAAAGTGACACAACATGTTAATATAAAGACACTGTCTTTTGTTTTCGGTAACTAGATAAATGGCAAATGTCTCGAATCAAGGCAAACTTCCATTTTTTAAAACAAATTAGGTTCACGTTTACAATTCTATGTAAGGAAACTCCCTTTAAAGCAAAGAAAGAGAATGTTTGAATAAATCTTTTCATAAGAGACAATAAAACGTGCATTACATTTCAGGCCATTAGCACCGGTAAAAGAAATACTAATGTTAAATACTTAAAGTGTCGATAAAGTCGACTGTTTACGTTCATATTACCCTGAAGCAAAATTGGAAAAGGTTTTATGAATAAGTGATGTTCGACAAACGCGGCATGCAATAGAAATGTTTTTTAACTTTATGTCACTAAACATTGTCACGACAATTTGACAATATGTCTCGGAGAGCCATGCATATCTGTTTATTTTTGACACTTTGTGTAAATAATAACGTGTCATCTTTGAATATAAAACATGAAAATTATATCTGCTTGAAAATATCACCTTAACTCAGTTAATACAAAGAATCTAGAAAGAAGTATATCAAAACTTAAAATGGCCAGTTTGTTGTGGATTTTACCAGTGTTCGTTTTAAGTTTTGCGCTTTGCTTTGGACAAGGTATGTTCTTTAAATTCTTACAACTTAAAGAAGATTTTAACGACATTGTTCACTTCATCATTATTCCTCATGTACATACTCGATCAAAACGGTCTGCAATTTTCATTTAATTTTGCTGTTTTGATGCTTCCTAGGAATCACTTCTTTCCAGATATTTGTAAAATTCGTGGAGACCTGAAAATATAAACTTTCGTTGCTTTAGCTTTTTTTGTTATATATGAACCTAATAGATAATTCAAATGTTATTGTTTACGAAGGATAAATATTTTTATTTCGTTTAGTGTACAGGTCAAAATGCAAACAAAATAACAATTCGACATTTGTTTGAACTATTTTCTTTTAAAACAAGAAATGTTTATAGTGATATAGATGTAAATATTGAGTACAGAAGTTAGGGTTGCAAGAATATTGTTATTGTATATCATTTATTTTAGTAGATTTATATGGCATGGATGGTTGTCCAGAGGCACAATGCCAAAATAAACCATATATACCACCTGACTGCAGGAAGAATCAATTCACAATCGGATCAGATGGCAAAACCAGGTGTCGAACATGCGATGCTAGCTTTTGTGGTAAGTATATAACCCCGCATAACAATTAACTTTAGGATTTGTCCAGCAGTCGTTGGATTTCGTTATCAAAATACAAAAATGAATTACCGACACGCAGTACAGACTTCCAGTGGGAAAGTTTTATCACGTTTCATTCAAGCAGTTTAAGTTTTTACAATTTATATGATTAATTTTAATCTCATAACTGAAAGGTGTAGTTGAAAAATGTAAGGAATATATCTTTATGATATATACTTTTTTATGTTAAAGATTAAAGGCATCAAAATTAAATGTTACACTACAATTAATAACTGAAGTTTTCTTAAAGTGACATTTTTGTATACTTATTATATAAAATTTTCTTTGTAATATTCATTTATTTCTTAAAAAAATATGATGCAACATATATTATGGAAGAAGATGCCACATGATTTTATAGCAAGGAAAAGAAAGGTGTTTTGGTATCGTCGACAACATGTTAATGCTACTTTTATTATAAGTTTAAGACTAAAGAAAACATAACCATTAACATTTATTCTTAATGTAATCGAAAGTGAGTAGCCCCTTTGTGCAAAAGGTAAAACGGCAGGCCAACCTGAACATCCCTGTAGAATGACTATGCTTTATAAACTTGTCATATTTTGATAATAAAGGATCTCCGCTCAGGCCACTCAGTCCAAATGGCTTACAACATAAAAATGAATTCCTTACATAAATTAAGTAAAGCACTTAATTTGATAAAATTCTGCACAACATAAAAAAGAAGTATTGTCTGAATAAACTGACTATCGATTGTTAGTGCGATTCACTGTGTGACATTATTCATTTTTGGGCCATTTTGCACAATAAAAATGATTATTCCGGGAAAAACAGGGTAAGGGTATTATATAAATATTTGTACACAATTTATTGGTTCCAGACCTACATTAAATCCCGGGAAAATATTAAACCTTCCGTCATGTAAAATACCTCAGTGGTGTCCCTTTAAGACATCTTTAATTGTGAATGGAATATTCCAAAGTTAAAGCTAGGAAATACCATTACATTTATGCATCATGTTACAAAATGCATGTAGAAATATAGACAGCCAAAGGTGCAATATGTCTCATGCCTCCTCAATTGGCTTAAATGGAAATCAATTAATCCTCAAAAAGTAATGAAATAAATGATCTTGAAATCAGTGAAATATAAAAATAAATCATCAGCATATATACTAATACTAACTCGATAGAGAAAGTTTAAAATGACAATTCATTCCCTTTGACGTACATGCACGAGCTGATGATATGGTAGCACAAATCTGTCTCAATTTTTAGACAGCTCTTGGAGATATTTCTAATTGATTTGTGTATTAGGTTAACAATTTGATGTTCGAGTCTACTTCGTCGAACTTATCAGTAGTGGTGCTTTATGAAATAAAATGGTCCTAAACGAAGTAAGAATCAAACTTGCTTCTTATGAATAACTCAAATTGTAGACAAAGTAGTACAACGTCACTTCTTCATGTGCATTTCATTTAATCCCTATCGTTTTATTACAGGCTTATTAGTTGCGTTTGTTTCATATTTTAATTAACACTAACTAACTCTTGAAAACAAGGACATAAACTCTAATTTATTTCTCTCCGTAATTTCAGATCCGGGTGGTTGTCCACTAGCAAGCTGTCCAGATCTAAATATTACAAAAGAATGCCGAAAGCCTAGTTTTGTAATTGGACTGGACGGAATTACAAAATGTCGCATGTGTGACTCGAATGCTTGTGGTAATTATTTCGTTACCTTTAAATTAAAAAGTCTTGCAGGCCTTTTTTTATTAAACATTTTTATGGCCAAGCATACATTTATCAAGTCTCTAGCGGAAATCAACATTTTCAACGTAGATGACAATTTTAAACTTGATGATGACGACAGTATCGAGATAGCATTTAAAGATTGCGCAGTATCCTTTGATTAAAAATATAAAGTATAAATATAACATATAACAAAATTTAATATGATGTTTAATTTAATTTAAAAACAATATTTTGAATTTTCTCTTCTGAGCGCACTTGAAAACATATCCCAGACCAGTGAATGTATCAGCCTCCCACCACTGAAAATCGTCATTCACTCAAAAAAACTCGAACAGAATCTTTGATGTTTCATATTTCGTTACCTTGAAACTGGTATTATTATTTTTCTCATATTTTTCTAAATCGATTAACATCGACGCAAAATTTGCATCCTAATAAGCCGAATAAAAGGATTTTGAAATACTTACAATAGAATTGATTGACAATTAGAAGGAGCTAATCTTTTCAACATTCATCAGGGTATTGAAAAGAGAGATTAGTTTTCTAGTAAATCATGATCTTTATTGTGTCTCTTAGACATGTTTGTATAAATAAAACAATAAAGATCAATAAAGGTGATCAATGTTCACTGAGCGCAGTCCCAAACACTACCACCGATTAGACACCCAGCGTGGTAAGCAAGGAACAAAACAGGTGAGATCACAACATAAATATGATACTTAAATGTATTATGTTTTCATACATTTGTAAATTTTATGGCAACTCCCATATTTTTACATAACAAAGACCTAAATTGTACGTAAACATTTTTTGTTATACAAAAAACAACAACATTTATTCTTTTTTCCCCCGCTCGCACCTAAGAACTAACCAAAGAGAAATTCTCCATTCGCTCCTAAGAACTATAAATGTTCGAAATGTGTTTATCTTCTCGCTCACTCTGCTATTTCGTCCAAAAACATCCTTAAAACAAGCAATCAATTTGATGTGGCCTTAGTGTATTTCTTTCATTTAAAACTATTAGAATGGTAGCAAATTTATATAAACTATTATTATTTCAGGAGATCCGAAGATAGTATGCCCGAAGATAAAATGTCCAACTCAACCCCCTATACCGGCCAATTGCGTTGAGAAGCAATTTACCATCGGAAGCGACGGCATAACATTATGTCCTGCATGTGACAAGAAAAACTGCCCAGGAGGTCAAAATGAAAATCAAAATTATTAAATGTATGAAATAAAGTTTGATGTCATGAATACAAACTGCTAGATTGCGTTTTAGTTCGGAAGATGGAAGGAAAGTTTGTCATTTTTTAAGAAATAATTTAAAAGTAAAGATAAATGCGTATATACTTTAAACTGTCTTTAGAATAATAAGTGTTTCGTGGACATAAAGAACTGCTTGCTTTATTGAATAGCAAACTTATTACTTTATACCTATAACAGTAAATTCTTTTTCATCAACACCGATAGTTACGTTCTTAAGTGATAGTTCAAAACACGATTTATTGCATTAAAATTATTCTTTCACCTAAAACACTTAAAGATCTTCAAATATTATCAATTACCCAAATAAAAAAATGACGGGAATAGAAAATGTTGTTATGAATTAGTTATAAAATTCCAAAATGTTGCAGAGTCTGAACGGCATGAAGGTACCCCATCCACATCCCCTATCAATTCAACATTTAGCTGTAGAAATGGGGATCAATAAAGAAATGAGAAATACCGCTGATGCGTTTTTGATCACAACTCTTTCAATCCGGAATGTTTGCATCATGCTATTATACATATATGAATGTATGAAGAGCGTAAATACTACAAAAACCTGTCTAGCACCGCCAGCCTTTCTGCATTTATAGAAAATAGTCAAAATATAGAGAATAAAGAATTTCATGAAATATAATCTAATGCATTTAATGATACAAATATGAATTTATAAGTGGAATTAATAAAAACATGTACATGTAACCATAAATCAACTAAGATATCGTCTAAGGGTAATTAATGTGTTACGCATTCAAACAATACATTATAAGTGTTATTTCCCTTTGATGCTGATAAATGTTTGTTTGTTTGTAGACACATAAATGTTATTTATTTTCTTCCCGTGAAAAGAAATAATGATATAATAAGTGATAATCATAGATTTAAATGAAAATGATTTTAGAAACGGCAATGGTTTTCAGCAAATTATCCATGGAACAAATATACCCGATCCGTTAAATCAATTTTTATTAAACATGTCACTCTTTTTATATCTTGTACCATATATTATTTACGCTGCACAGAAAGGACCATTCAGGTCATTGGCATTGCTACTTCTACAAATTAATTACAATACCATTAACTGATGTCTTCGACACTAACGTCAACATTGATATCCGGATTTTATTGTTGTTTTTTTAATTTATTATGCTCCCCGAAAAATTTCGGGGGAGCATATAGTCGTCGGGTTGTCCGTCCGTCCCGAATTCGTGTCCGGCTCATAACTTCGTTATTTGAAGTCGGATTTTAAAACTATTTCACAGAACTGGTCACCATATTGAGATGATGTGTCGCGCGCAACATTTAGGTCTCTACCTTAAAGGTCAAGTTCACATCATGGCCTTGCAGCAAAATCGTGTTCGGCCCATAACTTCGTTATTTGAAGTCGGATTACAAAACATTTTCACAGAAATCATCACCATATTGAGTCGACGTGTCGCGCGTAACATTTTGGTCGCTACCTTGAAGGTCAAGTTCACAGCATGACCTTGCAGCAAAATCGTGTCCGGCCAACAACTTCCGTTAATTGAAGTTGGATTTTAAAATTATTTCACAGAAATGATCACCATATTGAGACGACGTGTCGCGCGCAACATTTGGGTCGCTACCTTGAAGGTCAAGGTCAAAGCATGGCCTTGCAGCAAAATCGTGTTCGGCCCATAACTTCGTTATTTGAAGTCGGATTACAAAACTATTTCACAGAAATCATCACCATATTGAATCGACGTGTCACGTGCAACATTTGGGTCGATACCTTGAATGTCAAGGTCACAGCATGACCTTGCGGCAAAATTGTGTCCGGCCCATAACTTCGTTATTTCAAGTCGGATTTTAAAACTATTTCACAGAAATGATCACCATATTGAGTCGACGTGTCGCGCGTAACATTTTGGTCGCTACCTTGAAGGTCAAGTTCACAGCATGACCTTGCAGCAAAATCGTGTCCGGCCTATAACTTCTTTATTTGAAGTCGGATTTTAAAACTGTTTCACAGAAATCATCACCATATTGAGACGACGTGTCGCGGGCAACATTTGGATCGCTAGCTGGAAGGTCAAGATCACAGCATGACCTCGCAGCAAAATCGTGTCCGGCCCACAGCTTCGTTATTTGAAGTTGGATTTTAAAACTATTTCACAGGAATGATCACCATATTGAGACGATGTGTCGCGCGCAATATTTGGTTCACTACCTTGAAGGTCAAGGTCACAGCATGACCTTGCAGCAAAATCGTGTCCAGCCCATAACTTCGTTACTTTAAGTTTGATTTAACAACTATTTCACAAAGATGATCACCATATTTAATCGACGTGTCGCAGCAAATTTGGTTCGCTACCTTGAAGGTCAAGGTCACAGCATGACCTTTCAGCAAAATCGTGTCCATCCCATAACTTCGTTATTTTAAGTCGGATTTGACAAGTATTTCACAGAAAGGATCACCATATTGAGACAATGTGTCTTGCACAACATTTGGGTTGTTTTTACACTTTGAACTTTCTCTGTAACATAACTCTGACACTACAAGAGGACCTTGCTGTGTCCAAAACCTATTCGGTGAGCATCACCCGGTTCAACCGCTCTTGTTTTGATTTATTGTGTATATTTAATTGCTATACAAAATGTTTAAATTATGCTATGATGCTTTCCCATTCCTCACTGAATAATTCATTGTGATATCATGTAACCAACGCTGAAGCCTTTTACTCTGTATAAATCCACATGAACATACATTAAGCTTCATTTTGAAAACGTTATTCACTAGAACTGTGTTAGTGTGCCGTAAAACCATTCCACCTGGCTATATATTTCATTTTAAGTGAAGTATTTCATTACATCATGACAGGCCCAAATCAACTACGTTTGACGGAAAATAAGTTATAAAGTGAAACACGTTGTTTATGTTATCTTGGATGCTAAACTAATATGAATGGGTATGGATTTTATTGTTTATTAAATTTAATTTGATTTATTGTTTTTCAAAACATATTTACAAGTCCAATTGATAAAGGTATGGACAAAAATGAATTATATGTTAATTTGTATGCCATGATTAATAAAGTGTATATTAAATTGCTATACAAAATGTTTACATTATTTTATGATGCTTTCCCATTCCTCACTGAATCATTCATTTAGATATAATGTAACCAACGCTGAAAAGCCTTTTGCTCTCTCAATCCATTTAATATTCTCATGTTAACAATAATAGTGTTCGGCGCAGTATGGCCAGTTATGTGTACTGCAGAATATGTGCCTTTAAAGCAGAAACAAACAATCAAACAAACAAAAAACAATCATATATTAAATGAATCAATTAATAAATGTAATGCTGTTGTTTGTGACAGCATCTGCCAGAAAATCATTCACTGTGATATCACTGACAAAATAACACATACATTTTCATACTGTTTAAAAGAAAGTTACCAGTTAAATTAATTGTTGGAATCTAATTTGAAATGGAAGCGTACGTTTTCGCTTGTTTCACGTCATCATTTTATTCTGTCTAATTCCAGATGAACATACATTAAGCTTCATTTTGAAAACGTTATTCACTAGAACTGTGTTGTAGTGCCGTAAAACCATTCCACCTGGCTATATATTTTATCATAAGTGAAGTTTTTCATTACATCAGGACAGGCCAAAATCAACAATAAGTAATAAAGTAAAACATTTTGTTTATGTTATTTTGGATGCCAAACTAATATGACTGGATACGGATTTTATTGTTTATTAAATTAATTTGGATTGTTATTCAAAACATACTATTCACAAGTCCAATTGATAAAGATTATATAATACCTCAATTTGTTCATCATTTATTTTCCAAACAAAATTATTTACTTGTTTTCTTTTCTCAAAAATACATACTTTTGTTTTATTTACATTTATTTTAAGGCTCCATTTAATAGAAAAGTTATTAACAATATCTAACTGAGCTTGCAAAGATTCAGGGTTAGTTGTGAATAAAGCAATATCACCAGCAAAAAGAAGCATATACATATTCAACCGATTAAAGTCATTTTCAGTTAATAGGTTAAAATCAATATTTTCATTAATGTCATTAACGAAAAGAATAAATAATAATGGCGAGAGTGGTTCCCCTTGTTTTAAACCTATAGACACGTTAAAAAAAATCTGGAAAATTCAAAGCAGGCACTTGCACACAAGATTTAACATTTGCATATATAGACTTAACAATATTAATCATTTTACAGCTGACACCTAGTTTTAAAAGCTTTACCCATAAGGAATCTCTAACATGTGTGTCGAACGCTTTTTTGAATTATATGTTAATTTGTATGCCATGATTAAAAAGTGTATATTAAATTGCTAAACAAAATGTTTACATTAGGTTATGATGCTTTCCCATTCCTTACTGAATCATTCATCGTTACATCGTCGACAAAATAACACAATAATAAACTTTTTCGAAACAAATAGACCAGATAAATTAATTATTGGAATTTAATTTGGAATTGAGGTGTACAGTTTTTCATTGTTTCACGTCATAGATTTATACCTCATGAACATACATTAAGCTTCATTTTGAAAACGTTATTCAATAGAACTGTTGTTGGTGTGCCGTAAAACCAACCAAACAAACACAATCGACTATGAGGCCTAACGTTATTCAGTTGATTTATAGTTGTTGTTGGCATGCTGTGATGCCATGGACCGGACGCACAGTAATACTTCTCAAATATCTAAAATGTTAAATACTGCTTAAACCGGTGTATAGGGGCGTTGACAGTAACTTGCACTTTCCAACAAGCTCAATCAAACCGAGCCTGCACCATTTTCCATTTTGTCGTTTTGTGCGTTACTAACAGATTCAATATTTCTCTTATTTAAAAAAAAAGTCTCACACATCGACCTTATTAATTAATGATCTATTGTTACCTTTACACAACTATGACTCCATAGCACCGCGTTAAGCGTAAACTGTTTGTTTGTTTGTTTCATTTTACGCCTTTTTCCAACAGTATTTCAGTCATATAGGCGGGTA